CTGCAGCAATTTTCTTCCATGATCGTCCTGTTGGTCAGCCGTGCCGGATGGTTTCATCATAACATTAAATTCCAAGCGTCAAGAAAGAAGTCGGTTTTTACAGCTGCGTTGCATACGGAAACCGTCAGGTGACAGAGACAACTTTCGCACTATTCAGCATAACACTATCATCTTCATACTTCAGATCATCAAGATATTTAGCTGGATATCTACAACTGCGCCTTCCATCGAGAATGAGACCGTCTTTGATAGAGTCAGCAGTATTTCAGAGAAGAAAGTCGAGAACAGTATTGCATGGCAAAGGGAGATGCACACTTCCCTGCCGTTCGCTATGAAATATGCCTGATAACTGACCTGCAAAAGTGCTCGAGAAAGCTAACAGGTGGCCTCGATTGATGTAATGATGCCGGACAGTGGTTATTCGTGTTCTGTTAATGACGTCGAGATATTGGTTATGGTTGCTCTTTAACCCGCAAATGGCACGGTGTCCATGGGTACGAAAATTGAGCTGGTTTTCAGTTCACACTGTGTCGACTTCTCAGCACTTTTGGGGCTAGTAAACTGTGTTATTGCATGACGTTGTTTTAACGCAGGTCCGTTTGCAAACGTTCCCTGCACGTATAGCTGTGTTAAACTGGAGGTCAAAATTATTGATTGCAATATATGAATATAATAGCGCTAGAGTTATAATTACTCAATTCAGTAATATTATTTACTTGATTCTTCGTTATCATGAATTTACGAAGGTTACTTAACACTAAATATATTGACATAATATAACATCATCTTTTAGCAAGTCACAAACGCATATAATGTTCTTTAATTAGGAGCATCTGACATTTCGGACCAAGGACCATTTCGGTCCGTCTTGAGAGTACATGACACGATATAATGTAGCATATTAACCCATAATTAACTTAACTCTTTATGAAATACTCTGAGAATAACAGTAGGTTATGTTGGGTTTATAAATGATGCAAGTAACGGCGGTATCAGTTATCGTCAATAAATTACTTGCGGAAAATATTACATAAATGAATCAGAGAAAACCGTCATTCAAAAGAAAGAACAAAGGAATTACCGGTGACATGTGGATTTTCGTTCATGTTCTTGATTGGACCGTTTTGTCGCCGTTTCTCCTGAAGTTTGATGGTGCGTTGATGATCGCCGGTTTTATGCCATGATCAGGAGTGCCTTACTTATTAAGGTAGAATTTACGTCTCGTGGCAAGCGTAGCACGTAGTCTGATTCCTTCCGACAGAGTGGCACTCATTTATCAACCTCGGAAAGGAGACGGGCGAACCGCAGCTGGGGCTTAAACTCGGGCTCGATCGATTACGAGTAAGACGCTGTAC